GAGTTCGGGGGCCGCCTGGTCTACAGAGTGAGTTCCAGGCTGCTGGGGCTACAGGGAGACCCTGTCTCAAAAAAACCAAAAAAAAAAAAAGGTAAAGTAAATAAATGAAATTAATTTTATAATTAGAGTTCATTCAACTTGACAAATAAAAGTAGATAATTTCAGCATGCAATCAGTGTATAAAGTATTTTACATTAAAAAAAAAGTCTTCAAGCTGGGCGTGGTGGCACACGCCTTTAATCCCAGCACTTCGGAGGCAGAGGCAGGTGGATCTCTGTGAGTTCGAGGCCAGCCTGGTCTACACAACAAGTTCCAGACCAGCTGGGGCTACAGGGAGACCCTGTCTCAATAAGACCAAAAAAAAAAAAAACCCAAAACAAAAAAGTCTTCAAGGAGATATATTCCCATCTTGATTATAGCATTATTCAAAATAGCCAGGATATAGAAACAACCTAAATGTCCATCAACAGATGAATGGACTTTTAAAATGTGATATATATACACAATGAAATTGTGGCTTCTAAAATAAAGTCCAGAAAATTCTTTTTGTCACATGTATGAACCTGGAGCATACTACGTCAAAGGAAATACACTACACATCTAGAGACAAATACTGTATGATCTCACCTCTGTCTGAAATCTAGAAAAGTCTAACTCAGAAGTAGGGACAAAATGGTAGCTACCAAAAACTGGGGATGGAGGATTGGAGGGGGAAAAGAAAGATGATGTTGGTGGGCATAAAGTTTCAGATAGCTAGTGGGGAGAAGTTCTACTGTTCTATTGTACAGCATGGTAATTATAGTTAATAATGTAGATCATCAGTTTCCTTTCCTTCCTCCCTTCTTCCTTCCTTTCTTCCTTTTTGTTTTTCTTTTGCTATGGATCAAACCTAGGGCCTTCCACATGCTAGGCAAGCACTCTACCTTGAAGCTATATCCACAGCCTATGATCATGAATCAAGGGGAACATACCATGTAGCACATTCCATAACTAATCATTGCACTTTTTCCAACAGGATGTTCTATTAGCTACTTTTTTCATTGCTGTGACAAAATACTTTACAAAAACACCTTAAGGAAGGAAGGGTGTGTTTTGGCTCACAGCTTGGGAGTATAATCCATCATGGGAAGGTGTGGTAGTGAGAACAGATCCTGCTGTGGTGGCAGGAGCATTAAACAGTTGGTCACATTGTGTTCACAGTCAGGAGGCAGAGATAAATGCTGACTTTTTCAAATATGCTTTCTCCTTTTAATTCAGTCTGGGACTTCAGCCCATATGATGGTGCAATCCGGATTCAGGGTAAGTCTTCCCTCCTTAGTTAAATCTCTCTGGAATGGTCTCCCAAGACATGTCCTCCCAGACATGTCCAGAGCTGTGCCTCTTACGTGATTCTAAATCCAGTAAGGTTGACAATAAAGAAAAGCACTTCAGATCTTATATACAATTATTGTGTCAACAAACAGTCTGAGAAGTGGTGCTACAAACTACTATAAAACTATAGGCACATGCCAGCTATTGTTTATTTTATTTTATTTTATTTTATTTAGATTTGGTACAGGATCTTACTATGTAGCCTACACTAGCCTCAAACTTATACTCTTCCTGCCTCAGCCTCCCAAGTGCCAGCTATGTTTATTGTCAACTAAACATTATAGTAAACCCACATTTAATCACACCTTTCTATAGGATACATTGTCCTCACATCTCACTAACCACTTCTTAGATCTTGCTGGCTATTCTTTCTCTTGCTGTATGTAAAATGTTGATATGTGCTCAACCTTAGCCATTGATCCTCCTTTCTAATCTCACTGTACTCCTTGCTTAGTTGACCTTATCTCTTCCCATTGTTAAGCACCATCTAGGCCCTCTTGAAATGCAAGTATAACTTTCCCCTCTAAACATTTCTGCTGAGCACCACACATTACTCTTTGCATTACTGTGCATTCAAATATGACAAATCCTGATTGCCACATATAGCATCTAATCCTTAAATAGCGTTGGTTAGCTCTACTTTCACAGTAATCATAATTTATTTCTTTTTGGTCTTCACTCTCAGCCAAGTGACCCTCAGCTCTCATTTGGATCATGCAGTCACCTCACCATGGGGCTTCTTCTTTCCACTCTTGGCTCATGGGATCTTTTACACAGCACTCTGAATGATCTTCCTAAAATGTAAATCAAAACTCCTCATTTGCCCACAGATTCTATAATAAGTTTTTGTTGTTGTTGTTTGTTTTTAGGGCTAGAGATTAAACAAAAAACTTTCATGTATGTGTTAAGCAGCCACTCTACCATTTAGCTGCTTCTTTAACTCTTGATTTTTTTTTTTTTTTTGGTTTTATTGAGACAGGGTCTCCCTGTAGCACCAGCTGGCCTGGAACTCACTATGTAGACCAGGCTGGCCTTGAATTCACAGAGATCCGCCTGCCTCTGCCTCCTGAGTGCTGGGACTAAAGGTGTGCACCACCATGCCTTGCAGTTCTTGATCTTAAAGACAGGATTTGCCTATTGTTCCAGGGTGGTCTAGAACTCATGATCCTCCTGCCTGGCCTTCTGGATGTTGGGATTACAGGTCTATGTACCACCACACCTGGCTCCTATAATGGTTTTGCTCACTCCTTTAGAATAAAATCCAAACTCCTCACAAAGACATAAAAGTCCTGACATGATCTTGCCCCTACTTTGTTTTAATTATGTCTCTTAACAGTTCTGCCTATTTGTTGCTCATTCTACTGTCTGTACAGTCTTTCTGGCCTTCTTGCTATATTTCACTAAAGTCCCCTTATCTTGTTTTTAAATGAGTGTTCTGAGGCTTGATCTCAGGTCCTCAAGTTTGTTCTACAAGCACATCATCAACTGAGCTGGGTCCCCAGCTCCAAATCATTTTTATTAAGTGAACTTTTTCACAGAATTTGAAATTTTCACCTTTAAGAACCAAATAGATTGTGACTGGGCATGCCTACAGCCTGTAGCCCTAGTTCTCTGGAGGTTGAGGCAGGAGGATATTGAGTTCAAGAATAGCCTGGGCTATATATAGCCTGACTCTTTCTCCAGAACAAATAAACAAACAAAAAAAATCCAACAAAGGGGATGGAGATATAGGTCAGTGGTAGAGTTCCAGAGTGTGCAAGGCAAGTTTGATCCCCAGGACCACAGTAAAATAAAGAAAAGAAAAATACCCACCCCCATAATATTTTGCTGTGTTCATCCACAGAAAACAGAGCTTTCAATTTCTATTTTTGTTCCTTTCTGTATAGGAGGTCAACCCAAGTCCCTTTAGCCAGGTATTAATGATGATGATAATTATCATATGACCCCGTGTCTCCAGCCATTTGGATTACTAAAACAAAAAACCACAGATAGGATAAATTATAAAAATAGAAATCTACTCCCTTACCTCCCTTACATCGCCTTTGCATTTCTGGGCAGCACAGCCACCAGCATCCTGGGCCAGCTTCTTTCCCAGGTAAGTTTGGCCACATGCTCACTGCACCTTGACTCCCCCAGCCTCATTCACCCTCCCAACTCCCCTACCTCGTCTCTCCTCCTAGTGTGGGCACTGGTCCATTTCTTTTCTTGGCACCCCAGACTGCCCTCTTGGCCCAGGCTCCCCACTGCTTCCTGATCCTTTGCACCAGAACAATCCAATTTTTTTGTCTACTCCCTGGGAGCCCTCAGGGCCTGTTCCCTCCCTCACATCACATTTGCATTTCTGGGTGACACAGTCACCAGCTTTCCAGGCCAGCTTTTTTCCTGGGTAAGTTTGCGAGCCCACCAGGCCTTGACTCCCCCAGCCTCATTCACCCTCCCAGCTCCCCACCCCATCTCTCCTCCTAGCCTGGGAACTGGCCCATTCCTTCTCTTGGCACCCCAGACCTCTGGACTGCCCTCTTGGCCCAGACTCCCCACTGCTTCCTGACCCTTTGCACCCAGACCACCCAGTTCCTAGGTCTAGT